GCACATAAAGCAGGCACATAAGGCATCACTCCTAGATCCTTAGTCCTATTCTAGTATGCGGTTCTACAGAAACTGATAAACATAAATAAACTTGTATGGGTACATTGGGGAATACTTACTTGAGCTCGACCGGTCGCGCACATCACACACTTCGCTCCTTCTTAAAACTCTTTACTTAGTTTTTCAGAAAATATTTTCTTCTTTAAAATCTTTTTAATCCCTCGATTTGAGTTCAGACACCCCCGAAGGCGTGTCCGAATCCCTCAAACCAAGGCTCTGATACCAACTTGTAACACCCCAAAAATACGAACCAAAAATTTCATTTTTAAATACACATACTTAGCAAAACATTAGAATAAAACATTCATTGATCATATCAATTCATAAAGGATGTGTGTGTCTAGAAACCAGTTTATAAAATCATAATAAAAACACAGTACAATTCCCCAGGAAGATCTCATAGTGTGAAATACAGAGCGTGTGTGTGATGTGCTGCTACCGCGCGAGCTCCTTCCCCTTCGAAGAAGAGGTACCTGAAACCAAAACCGAAAACTGTAAGCACGAAGCCTAGTGAGTTCCCCCATCATACCGCATACCATACAATTACATATCATACATATTGCCACGCATTTCTGGGGTGCCCGACCTACCCGGTACGACCATTCTGGGTGCCGACCTACCCGTGTCATGCCATTCTGGGGTGCCGACTACCCATGTCAACTATTATGGGGTACTGACTACCCATCGGTCCTGACGACCGAACCTCAGGGACTATTTCACCCCCTACTGCTACTATCATATATATCATAACATAACATATTATCAGACATATCTGGGGTGCCTGAAGTACCCTGCAGTCCTAACAATCGAACTCGGGGACTGGTCCCCTCCTACTACCTCTATCGCATATAACATAACAAGCCAGCATGCAAACAAATCATCACATACGTATCTGGGGTGTCTGACTACCCTTCGGTCCTAACAACCGAACTATTCTACTATCACATACAACATATCATGCTAGCATATAACATATTAGGTAGTAGCAAACCTAGATGATATCACAAAGACAATCATCTATCATACGTCTCCTACTGGTGGGCCGACATTGTGGCCTTAGACCCACCGCTATTGGAAGGTAACTCACCTCGAAAGTAGCTGCTGAAATCTGCTTGCTGAGCGTCTAACTGCTGGATTGCAAATCCTCCGGCTATAAACCATAAACATAGGTTAGACATCCATAAATACCATTAGGTCAAAATACTGACCCTCCCTTGGCCCAAGGTCAACCCCTTGGTCAAAGTCAGTGTCTGTGTGACTAGACTCGCCGAGTCATGGCATGGACTCGCCGAGTCCTTTTCCTCGTAACCCGGTCCTACCCAACCAATCCTTCTTCCTACTCACTGAATCACTCTTCATTCATGACTTGGGACGATTAAACTGACTCGTGATCCGACTCGCCGAGTTTGAAGAACAACTCGCTGGGTTCCAGGCAATCTTCATAGGACTCGCTGAGTGGTTCATCCAACTCATTGAGTCTAAGGCCATCTTCATGGAACTCGTCGAGTCCCTATGACCCATTTCCTATATAGTCCAAATCTGAGGCATGCAACGCTTCAAAACCATAGATCCATGTCCCTTGAGCATGCTTATCACGTAAAGTTGCAAACTTTACGTGCATGCATGGTCCTATAAGCTAAAAAGGCCAAAACCAAGCTCCTCAAGAGGTCATATACTCAATGGAGACCTTAATCACTTCAACCACAGGAACTTTATGCTACTAATTCATCCAATGAGTCCAGATCAGAAGTCGTTTCAGATCATTAAGCATCACACATGGAGCTTGGTGTTTCAGGGCTTGAAAACCACCAATTTGGGATAAAAATGGCAACTAATGATCTAAAGATCAAGGTAGAGACTTTTCTACCTGAATGGAAGCTTCCCCCTACGTAGAGTTCGGATCTACTCCTTTCCTTGCACTCTTCAACCACCTCTTTCTCCTTCTAAGCTCCAATCTCCTTCACAAGGCCAAAAACTCTCTTTAGATCAATAAGGGGGGCTAGGATCTCACTCTAATGCTCTCTAGAAGTGTTAGGGACAAAGGAGGCCAAGATAGAGTGTTTAAATAGGGTGAAAACACCCGGATTAGGGTTTTTGCACAACCAGGGCCTACTCGCCGAGTCCGGGGACCGACTCGCCGAGTCCAGAGTCCCATTCCCACACCTTGACTCACTCCTACTCGGCGAGTTGGCCCATCAACTCTCCGAGTCCAAGGCAATATATAAAGGAAATAAATAGCAAGGAGTACGTATCGGGGACCAGGTGCTACAAAAAAAGGTAAGATGGTTTAATCACTTCATAAATTTGAATTGTTTAATCTGTAAAATGGTAAAAATTGGTACCTGGGTTGGAGTTCTCTCAATGTTAAGCTGAGATAGAGCATGTAATCAACAACTTATTTATTGGTTATTCAAAATAAAGCAGTTGCAATTGACTTAAATATTTCATCAAACAGTTAACCTACAAACTTAAAAACTAAAAGTTTTATCAAGCAAAATTAATATATTCATCACATGTAGTTTAGTGTAAATTGGAAGAAGATTAATAATTATACTAACCTCAATTTTTTAAACTGACAATGGTGATGAAGTTTCGTGTAAATCAAAGGCTAATTACCTGGATGTAGCGTTTCGAACGTCGTTTCTTGCAACGAATCATTATCATTGATGGAGAGGGAAGAGGATTAGGGTTTAAGAGAGAATCTACCTTCAAGAATTGGTGATTAAGTTTGGATATGATTGAGTTCTTGCTTTGGGACGTCACTTTGGTATTTTGAGCGAAATCGATAGGAAGGGGCTAATTGAATGTCGCGTGGCAAAATTGTTGGGATTAACATAATTTATCTAAACTAGATAAGTTGCCCATGCTCTGCATGGGCTGTGTGCATCTGATTTGTGTGTCGTTTTTATTTATAGATTAATAGACGTTTGACTGTTTTAGTTGACTTTGTTAAGGGCAGACAAAAACAATATATATATATATATATATATATATATATATATATATATATATAGATATATATATATATATATATATATATATATATATATATATATATATATATATATATATGATGACCAATATAGAAAAAATATACCAAAAGAAGAAAGTGACAGACATAGAAAGTGCAAGGATGAAAAGTCTGGGCTTTACCCCGGACCGTTTTTTGTGTTTTTTATGAATAAATGTAAAAGTTTTTACTGTAAGGACCAAAAATGTCAAAATGACCATAAAACAAATATGCACAATAGCTAATATCTAAGGAAAGAGAAATTTAATATATATATATATATATATATATATATATATATATATATATATATATATATATATATATATATATATATATATATGGGAAAAGGAAATATACATTACAGCCCCACCTAAGCTTAGGTACTAAACCTCTTGAAGATACATTGTTTTACTATATAAAGATACGGTTAATGGATTCACGGTTAATACTTCAAGGTGTAAATTCAAGATCGACACAATAGGGTTTAGGGTTTAGGGTTTAGGGTTTTGGGTTTGGGGTTAGGGTTAGGGTTTAGGGTTTAGGGTTTAGATTTAGGGTTTAGGGTTTAGGGTTTAAATTTAGGGTTTAGGGTTTTGCTTTAGGGTTTAGTAGTGTTCACTTGGGTGAAGTAATAAACGATAATTGAGGAAAGAAAACAAAGATGGTAAAACAATAATGAAAGAAAGAAATGTTATGGAGGATGATATATTTATCAAGTGAAACCAAACTGGACATATTTAGCATGTTAAAACGACATATTTTAGAGGTTTAGTAACTAAGTTTAGGTGGGCTGTAATGTATATTCCCTTATATATATATATATATATATATATATATATATATATATATATATATATATATATATATATATATATATATATATATACGGAAAAGTGAATATACCCTTAAGGGTATATAAGCTTAGGTACTCAAATCCACTATAATTAGTAGTTTTGTTAGATATATTCATTATAATGTTCTTAAACTTCAACCCCTAACTTGATTTACTTTGAAGATTTTCGAAATTTCACTATTATATTCCTCTTATATCATATCTTTTTTGTTGAACACCTACTAGATTATATATATTATAGTTGAAAATAAAAAGTATGTAAGAGGAAGATAAATGTGAAATTTATAAAAAATATTAGAAGTAATCAAGTTATAAGTTGAATTATAAGAACAATTAGACAATTACAATTTAAATATATAATACAAAACGATGTAGTATAGTGAGTTTGGGTACCTAAGCTTATATACCCTTAAGGGTATATTCACTTTTCCCATATATATATATATATATATATATATATATATATATATATATATATATATATATATATATATATATATATATATATATATATATATATATATATATATATATATATATATAGGGGAAGGCTCATGCAAAAATGCAAACTATATGTGAAAATGAAGGAACCAATCACATATTGCCACATCATTATTCATGTTTTCTTCAATTTATTACTTAAATTTATTAATAAAGGGTAAGATAGTAATTAACATAAAATAGTGATTGAATTCGTTCTTCATATAAATAACCGCAAACAAAAACTGACATATTAATATGAAAGTAACTTCTTCCGTATGTTTATGATCGACAAAATCATCTCCATTAGAATCATTGATTGATTTAGTTACAATATCAAATTGAAGAGATGTCTAGTAAAGAATATGAAGATATTTGTTCTACTTATTTAATTGATAAAGCAAATCAATCTTCCCAAAATTTAACTATCGGAAATTCAATATCAACGTTAGATGATGTTGATAAAGGCAAGTTTTCATTCTGTATAATTACTATATTTTTTTATTCTAATACCTAACATTACAATACTATGATACACAATCATTACATATATTTTTACGATTATACTGAAAGTTAATTTCAACCTTCAAACTGATGTTCATGATCCGAAGAAAAAAAAAAGTTAATCGTATGATTAATTAAATTTCATTTACTAAATATTTACATATAAATACTTATTTCAATAATCGTACTGAATATTGCACAGGAAGTAATGAATCGGAAGACTCATTCAATGTTTTAACTATTGAACCTTCAAAATCAACATTCAACAATGGTGACAAAGGTAAGTTTAATAAATAATAAGATGAATATTTCTGATGTTATTATTCAATAATTAAATTTAAGATAGATTACTAAATTCTATAGAACAATTACTAATAATTTTAAAATAAACAAACTAACTCTGAAGTTCAACTTTCAAAAGGAACTACAAGTGCAACAGCAACAGAAAAGGATAAAGGCATGTTTACCTAATTTATATTAAATACATAATTATGAACATATTTAATATATTTCAATATTGAGCTTTTTGAATATTTGACAGGAACATCTTATATAAATCAAGATGATTTGTACATTCCACATGTTGCTGCAGATATCATTCCTAAAAAGGGACAAATTGTGTCAAGTTTAAATGAAGGAATTGAAATGTACAGAAATTATGCAAAAGCAGCTGGTTTTGGAATTAGATTAGGAACAACAACCAAATACGGGGATCTAAGTCTAAGGAAAAAACAAGTAAGATGCAACAGATATGGAAATCCAAAAAAAAAAAAAAAAAAAAAAAAAAAAAAAAAAAAAAAAAAAAACATTGATACTCTTACATCCAAACGACTGAAAAAACAGGAAAGAGAATCATATTCTAAGGTCACAGGATGTATGGCAATGATTGGTTTTGACAAAAATGCTGCAACAAATATAATCACTGTATATGCATTTGAATACACACATAACCATCCACTTACTGAATTTAATGAAGAAAACATCTGCTCTCCAAACCATCGTCTTAGTATTTTTGATCAAGAACTAATTGTTAAAGCTTCAACTATCAACATTGGTGCCACAAAAGCACACAAGTTAAGAGCATCATTAAAGGGAGGATATGATAATTTGCCAGCAACAAAGAATGATTTAAAAAACTTTTGGAGAGATTATACAAATATTGTTAGACCAAATGATGCTCAATGTGTTGTAGACCAGTTGATAATTCGCAGAGATAATTATCAAAATTTCAATTTTCAATATAAGTTGGATGATGATGTGCTAAATGCTATGTTTTGGGTTGATGAAATAGGAAGAGAAAACTACAATAAGTTTTCTGATGTTATATCAATGGATGCTACTTATAGAACAAACAGGTAAAATTTATATTTATTAAATAATATTACATAATAAGGGATACATTTTACAAATATTTTCAGGTACAATATGATATTTGTTCCTTTCACTGCAATAAACAATCATGACAAGACAATCAACGTTGGAGCAGGACTAATATCAGATGAAACAATTGAATCATACTCTTGGTTATTAGAAGCTTTTTTGTCATCACATAAGAAGAAACCATCAATGATTCTATCAGATATGGATGCAACATTATCTTGTTCAATAGCAAAGGTGTTTGAAGGATGTACTCACAGATTATGTATGTGGCACATAATGTCAAAAATGCCATCAAAGGTAATAAAAAATTAAATTTAGTGAATTACATATAGCTTATGAAAATATACTAATAAAACCAAATTTAACATGACAGATTGAAGCTGACTTAGTTTCAAATATAGATTTCAAGAAACGCATAAATCAACTAGTTTGGAATATGAATATTAAACCATCAGAATTTGAGAACAAATGGGATTTGATGTTGAATGAGTTTCATTTGAAGGAAAATAAATGGTTGGCTGATATGTTCAACAAGAGAGATAAATGGATTCCATCCTATTTCAGAGATATACCAATGTGTGGACTTATGAAGACTACATCTCGATCTGAAAGTTCTAATTCCTTTTTCAATGTTTTCTCAAGTCCAACCAACTTACTTGTTAATTTTATATTCAACTTTGACACTGCACTTTCAAAGCAGCATCATGAACAAAAAAAGATTAGACATTGCATCAAGAGATACTTCTCCACAACTGCTATTTCCAAATGAACATTTGAAAATAGAAAAGCATGCATCATTGGTATACACTCGAGAAGCATTCATAAAAGTGCAAAAACAAATAAAAAAGGCATTCTATGAGTGTTTTCAAAAAAAATCAGTTTTGATTGATGGTCATCAACAATGCACAATTGTATACAAAGAACTAAAAACAGGCAAGCGACCAGAATTTAAGGTATTCAATTATGCTACTTCATTATTATTTTAATTTAACATTATTTAGAATTTATAAATATATTTTTGAAATAAAATTTTATTATTACTTCTCAGGTTTCTTTTGATGCAAAAGATGAAACAATTGAATGTGAATGTTTGCATTTCACATTTTTTGGAATCCTTTGTAGTCATGCTTTCAGAATTCTTATAGATTATGACATTACCATGATACCTGAAAAATACATTCTGGATAGATGGAGAAAGAACATAGTGGATATTGGTTTTCAAAAGATAAACAAAAAATGGAGAGTGTGCAGTACAGAAATTTCAAATCTCTTGCAGGATGCAACTTCTTTTTTTGAGAAATGCGTTGAATCGGTTATTCATGACAAAGAAAAACTACAAGAATTGGTGAACTCTCTTCAACAATTAAGTGAAACATGTGGAAAGGGTGTTTCTACAAGATCAAGTTCAATTCCAATAAAAGATGTGATTGAAAATATCATCGGAGTTCCAATTTCAAGTGATGTGAAAATCAAAGTACCAAGTGAGATAAAAACAAAAGGAAGCGGAAAGAGGAGTCGAATCAAAAGTGTTGCAGAAAAAGCAATAGCAAAAGCACTTAAACCAAAACGCAAATGCAAAGGATGCAACCAACTCGTCAACCATGATATAAGAAATTGCCCAATAAATCCTTCAAATGTGCTTAGGCCTTTCAAAAAACATCAGTAACTTATATATGAATTTTAGATTTGTTTGTTGTTAAGCTTCTCTGTATTAAAACTATTACTATTAGTCGCATTAAACAATTTTAATTTTGAATTACGTACCTATTCTTTTTCCTTCAACATCTTCTCTGCAACTCTTTTGACTATGTCTTTTGACAAATGTACAATTCCTAAAATCATGTTGAACCAACGTATTTGAAAAATTACACAATCTCATTTGTTTTTTATACATCTTATGTTGATGAAAAATATACATTATATTGCAATATATATTTTTATTTATAACCTAATAAATTCTTTCATTTATTACTTAAATCTATTCATAAATGGAGAAGTCAGAACAACTTATTTACAATAAATACAAACCATTCTTTCACATAAAAACCTTTTCATCTAATACTAACTTCATAATTTATATTTAAAAAAAATTTAAAGAAAAAAAAATAATGTAAAAACTATAAATAATAACAATACTGAAATCACATTATAACATACAAAAAAAAAAAAAAAAAAAAAAAAAAAAAAAAAAAAAACTTTGATATATATCAAATTAATAAAAAAAGGTAATATATTATTTTGACATGCACGTCTTTAGGCTAAGCAAATTATCTTTGTCTCATTTGTTAATTATGAAACTCTTATCATATCCTTTTTCATAACCTACTTTTGAATTGTTAAGGGAATAAAGTATTTGAAATTATGAGATTTTTTTCGAAATTTATTACTTAAATGTTTTCAAAAATCTTTCATTTATTACTTAAATCTATTCATAAATAGAGAAGTCAAATCACCTTAATTACAATAAATACAACCATTTCATTCACATAAAAACCTTTTCATCTAATACTAACTTTATAATTTATATTTAAAAAAAAATTAAAGAAAAAAAATGTAAAAAACAATAAACAATAACAACACTATTATCACATTATAACATACAAAAAAAAAATTATTTTCTATATATCAACTTTTTAAAAAAAGGTAATATATACCGATTAGTTTTATAAATTACAAAACAAAAAAATTAATTCATAAAAAGATAAGTATTATCATCTTCAATGCATAGATAACATGATTAGCTAAACCTATAACCGCCAAAATAGTTATACCACTTATTGAAGCAAATGATGGCAGAAAATTAATTACTCCTCTACTTACTCCGATTGTTACCGCTATATATTTCTCCTAAACATAAACATAAACTTAAGGAAGAAAACACATACATTGATGGCTTCTAAATCATCCATTTGGGTAGTTCAAAACTCCTCGAATTATCTTGATCTTTACGACACATATGGTATGTTCTTTATTGTTAAAATCGTATACTATTAATACTTATATAATATTCTTTTCAATATTCATTCAGGGTGGGAAAACAAAAAGTACTTCACGATGATGCTACATCATGGAGGTAGTTTCGAATACTACCCAAATCGCGATTACAGTGGAGGCAAGATTGACTATGTAGACTTCATCGAGGTTGAAACTTTCTCCCCAAAGGTATTTCAAAGCATCTTAACTTCTTTTGGTTATGATGTTGAGACAACATATGCATACTCTCTAGTCTAGTTTGCTCCCTTAGACGTTGGTCTAAACAAGCTTGCTTATTGGAATGATTTCATTAACTTTGTCAAAAAAGTTAAACCAGAAGGTTTTTTTTGTGTTCAACAAGTTTATTCGGAGCATAATCAAACCACTGTTACAAACTTCTTCCTAAAAACTTTAAACTTTGCAAAAAAAACAGTTATCTGTGCACGAAATTCTATTCAATAGTTGCATCAAATCCAAAAATTATTGTTTGGGAGGCTAGGATCATGCTTTTTGACAAATTCAACTTTTGGATAAATGTTGACAAACTCATTGAAGCTTTGGATTACACCAAGTATCAAGTGAATCTTCTGGGGAAGTAGATGAAGCTGCAAGGTGAAAATGTGGGAATTTGGGTTTTTTTGGGTTTTTGGGTTTAAGTAAATGGTGTTATTATTAATATTTGGACGTTTTTATAATATGTTTATGTGCTCAAACTTTTGGAATGACTGTAATGGGGACTGTAATATATTTTTAAATATTATCTATCGTGGTTGTTATAATGTTAATATTATATATTATTGTTGATATCTTACTCTGAAAATTTTGAATATGATGGTTTTAAAAATTATAGATATTATGTATTTATATATGTTAATATTATATATGCTTGTAAATATATTAACTTTATAAAAGATTATACATATACAATCAAAATCAAAAACAAAAAAACGTAGACACACTTTTCATATATTATTATAAACTTATGTTCGTAGAAGTACATTACATTCAACCAAAACAACAACAACCAAAAACAAACACACATTTAAAAAACTTCATAACAAATTGTTCTACTAACTCATTCATAACCAATACTATGAATACTTCTACATAAACATAACGACTTGAATTTTACTTCAACAAAGATATATCAAGGACCAAAAGCAGGTAACCGAGCTGCTATATTGATAATGCCTTCATGATAAATTACACGCCTGTCATTTGAAGAAAGCTTTTGATAATCAACAAGAAGTTGCTCAACTTCATTTTTCATTAGATTTACTTCACTCAACAGAATTTTCATAGAATATCTTCTTCGAAGATTTCTAAGTCGCAAAATCTGCTTAACACTTTCCATTTTAAAACCAAATCTCCATTGAGCTAAAGGACCACCTTTATAAGTTTCCATATGACGCATCAAAAAAATCCCACAATCATTACTGTTACCTCTTGTTTTCAACGTCATATATTGATCAACAAATTCCATTTCATACATAACTGAAAAAGCCATAAAATGTTTTATGTCTTGAAGATATCTACCAAACATATATTTCTGCGTTTACATATAAACAAAAATTCAATATAAATTATAAAAAATATATATATAACTCAATAATATACATAAACATTTTAACAAAAAAAATACAAACAAACTTACCAGATTTTGAGTTAGATGTGGGTATGGTTTTTTAGAAGATCTATACAATATGTTGTCCAATATGACAGCTTTTCGGTTTTTAAAATAAAAAACAAACACAAAATAGTGACTGTTTGCACATGCAGGAAAGAACACCTAAATAAACATAAACAACTTCATAGTAAGATACAAACACAAAACGAATAAAATTTCAAATAAAATTAAACTTACCAAATCAATTCCTTTTAAATTTCTTCGTTCTTTAGACTCTCCCAAACAATGAAAAACATTTTCTTTAAAATTCTCGTACACATCATCATATTTACATGCTTCACTATGCATGTATGCAAGATCCTAAATACAAAACAAAAATTCAATAAACATCATAAAAATATACTAACAGCTACTATACATACCAATACTGTTGTCTTGAAGAAGAAACATGAAGGAGTGTCCAAATTCCTAGCTCTCATCATAGTTCAGCACTTCAACAAAACAATCAATAGTCCCAGAAAAAAGAAATTCTCCCAGATATAAGCTCTCAAACATGTATCTTTCACCACGTTGACCATTTATGCTATGAAAAAGATCATCCCTATTAAAATAAAATTAAAAAACATTAACTTAAATATTATTTATATATAAAAATATATATACATATACACAAACACATTACGTTGGATTCCCACATAAACTGAATAGCCAATTAGACTTGATATTCTCCTCCTTCGTCAAATTACTATCAATCTCAACAGCTCATACAACAAATGGAGACCTAAGCACTGGAGGTAACGTGTGACTTCTCTTTGGTCTCGATGAAATCATATATTTCTCAAGAATTTTAACTTTTTCACTTTCATCGCAAGACTTAGGTTCATTCCCTTTGACTGAATCAGAACTTGTTCCAACAGAAACAAAATTACTGTGCACATAACTATCAATACCTGGATTAACTTTTGGAGGAGTATACATATCATCCTCAATTCCTAAATTAATAGAAGGAATAATCTCAACTACACACTTTTCCTTATGACCACCCTCACAATCCAGAGGCAACTTAGTTTCAATAAATCCAGATTTCCCGGACAAATTTGCCGATCCATATTTATTAACAACAACATCTGGACTCACTTTTGGAGGAGTATGCATATCATCATCAATTCCTAAATTAAAAGAAGGAATACCCTCAACTACACACTTTTCCCTATGACCACCCTCGCAATCCACATGCAACTTAGTTTCCATATTTCCAGATTTGCCAAACAAATTTGCCAATCCATATTTATTACCACCAACGCTGTTGTTAATAGACTACCTAACATCTCGAAATTCATTAGACTTATCATCACAACTACTACTTTTTCCAGATGACTGAAAAGCATATTCGCATTTATAATTACTATGACGAAAAGATTTATATGCAGAACATAACTCTTTCAGCTTCAATCCATAAAACTCTACTATTTTCAAATTTCCATGCGTTTTAAAGGCTTTATCCACTTTCTTAGACATATCTACTAAACACCACTTCATTTCTGAATGAAACTCCTGATAACAATAAAAATTCATAACAAAGTAATAATTAATATATATAACTTAAATTTTAAACATATAAAACACATACAAACAAATAAATCATGTTCAGCTTCAAAAATACACAAATAACATTACTTACTAAAATTGATCCTCTAGAAACTTCATCAACACTTTCCACTGTAGCAGATGGCCTTCCAAAACCTCCATTAGAAATTTCATTCATTTCTCTCACTTTCAACTGCTCTAAAGTCCAATAATTAATTACTAGATATCTTCTAACCATTAACATTTGCCTACATTGAATCCTATCAACATATAGCAACTACAAAAAAAAACAAAATATAATAACAAAATATAAATATTACTAATATTTTAAAAATATTTACTCAAACAATGTCACAACTGGAAATTTTGTGTCTTGTAAACTATACACTCAAGCTAAAGTGAATCAAAAGCTTAAGAACATGTGTAACACCCATGATTGTAACAACAAAATTTCAATCAAATACACCATACGATCATTTCAAATGGTCAACAAGCAATTAGAAACCCTAGAAGTTCTTACTTAGGTCCACTTTGGACTAGAACTTCCTTATTGGGCCTAATAGACCAATAAACTTCCAATTTGACTATCTTGGGTTTAGAACTCTTAAATGGACTCTAATTGGACCAACATCTATTTGTTTCAACATTTTTGGGCTATGTTGGACCTAGAATGAAACGAATTAAAAGCCTTGATACATGAATAACCTAAACTAGTCCAATAAAAATATAAAAATCCTACCACATTTCTTTAGACTTAAAACATACCCAAGATTAACTCTAATAGTGGGCTTAGGGGCAAAGGCCCAAATTCTCCCTTTTCCTTCCAAAAATCTCGGCCCAATGCACAAGCCCAAGAGGATGGAAGAGTTGACTTGTGTGCCACATCATTATTACCTATTGGATATCCATGCAACTCATCTCATTCTTCCATGCATATCACTTCAAAAATACTCTCTTCTCTCCTCCCTCTCACTCTCGGCCGAACACAACACACACACACTCACAAAAATCCATCCCATTCTCTCTAGATCACTCAAGAACACTCCTTCCTCCCCACTCCAAGAATCTCGAAATTTAGGAGCTTTCAAGAGGATCTTGCAAGTTAATCATCATTTTAGGTAAGTTTTTACTTATATCCATGATCTAGCTACTTTACTCCATCAAAAACCTCTTCTAAATCTATTCCAACTTGTGATCATGCACCTTAGAAGTCACCAAACTCGAGATCTACCAAGGAAAGGTGCTAAGGCCGAAAATCACTTCATTTTCTTCCATCTTTTCTTCCAAAAACCGAAAGCTTCAAACAAGGTGAGCTTCATACCCCCTATTTTCGGTTTTCATGAGTTTTTGGGGGGGGGGGGGGGGGGAATACAAGTGAAAGTGTAGATCTATATGTATTTTGTATGCTTTGTATGATTCCATGCTTATATGTGTGCTTTTTGTGTGTTATAATGTTGGATCTAGCCATAAAACCCCTCAAAACCGAAATATACCTTATGTTAAAAGACTCTAGCATCAATTATATTTCTACATACAAATTATTTCTAGAAAAATGGCTAAATGGTTTAGTAACAATTTCTTTGGGCTAAAAACACCATTTTTGGACTTAAAATGCGAAAAATACAAACTTTAAGGGCCTAAATTGACAAATCACGAATTCTGATGGTTGAACTATGTCAAAACAGTTTCAATAAAGCAATTTCTGGAAATATACTCATTTAGAGGATTAAAAACATAAATTTCAAGCTTAATGGGCTAAAAATGACATTTTAGGCCCAATGAGGCCCATTATGCGAGATTTTCTGTTTTGGAGGGGCAAAACTGTATTTTTCTGTAAAATAGTGGACTATAAGCGTTCCAAGTCCTTTTCAAAGGTTTAAAATGCTTTTTAAATTTAAAAGGGACTAAAGTTGCAAAAAAATTTCAATTTGGGCCAAAATTGTCAAACTTTCGAAAAAGAAGGGTTATAACCGAGAAAAAAACTGAAATTCAGGGACTTAAGCTGTTTTCTATGAAAAAGATGCTGGAAAATACTTATTCAAAATACTTATTTCAATAATTTTTGGTATTAAAATGTCAAGAAAATTGATTTAAGTACCAAACCGTAAAGTATTTAAATAAAGGGTTGAAAAAGTAAATTTTACAAACAAGGAGGGGCTGAAAACAGAAAATTCTCAAGGCTAGTTCAATACATGCAATTTGACCAAATGATGGTACCACGACTATCGACGAAATACAATACATTACAACACCAAAAGTCGTTGTTAAACGAATTGGTTCGGTCTCGAACCAATAAAAATCCGAAACTACTAACACGACGACACTATGACATAACGACACTACGATCAATAACTAATAACGATTGGGAAGTCACTATACATGCGAGTGTGCACAGACGTCTACGCACCACCTTTGGGCCCCAAAAGTGTAAAATCTTGTTCGTTGAGCCTAGCTAGCCCAATGACCTGATCTTAAGGCCCGAAGACCTCTCTCTTACGAAGTGTTGGGTTTTACCGACCCGACATAACGTAAAAGGACTTTCAATGGCTCGTATACTACTGGTCCCCAAGGGTCCTTTGGTATTGCTAGTAAAGTCTACATTTTCATGCGAGGCGGGTCTGGGACCCCTCGTACCTTTTATCCCCAACCGGCTAATGGAGTTACTGAGGCCTTCGTGTCCTCGTTCTCTTCGGGTGTGGGACTACACGTAGTCAGGGCGGTTGGAGAACGTGATTAGTACGGACGACGCCTACGGGATCGTTAGTATCGCTATAGACTAGTCGTTTGTGTAACGTGTGTTTGTAGCAAATAATCATGCTCAACAATAATCCAACGTCGCCTGGTACCGATAACTTCACACGTTGCAATTGTTTCAATGTACGAATTAGGAAAACATCGGGTTTTCCTAGGGTATTTCAATACATACGGATTCGGAATGCACACAAATTTTAAATGAACAATTTTTACAAGTATAGAAACAAACAAGCATACCTATGGATCTTCACACATTTTTGACTTTACTATTTTCAGAAAATATCGGATTTTCTGGTGTTTCTCAAAACATTACAAACATTGGATTTCAAACATTACTTATGAACTCACCAACATTTCATATGTTGACGTTTTTCAAAATACTTGTATTCTCAGGTAACAGATAAAGTGGAGGATGAATTGTACTCTAAGACGTTTTGCTGTGGTTTAATTTAGTATCAAATAGTTATTTTTGAGAATGTCATGTTTTGGAACAATGTAATGGATGTAAACGCTACCAGTTGTATCATTCCAAATGTTGGTGATGTATAATGTTATGTTTCATGTATATGCATTGTGATGGTATTCAATTGAGTCACGATAGCCCTCGGACGTTTCCGCCGTCTGGTTCGGGGGTGTGACAATCAACATTAATGACTACTAGAAAGACACTATGGACCATGAAAGAAGGCTAATAACTCTACAAACAACTTTCTCTTTTACACAATAAACATAGTACACCAACAAACTTAAAGACAAAAATATGGTCTAACTTTCAAATTGCCTGCAACTTGTTTGTTACCAAGGAGTGAATGCAGCCTGATCAACTACATTCTCTCCAAAGTAAAACTAACACACGTCCTGATGGGATCGGGATTTCTAGGGAATCTAAAACTATACCCCTACCACCAAAAGAGAACGCCTACTTGATCTATGCGATAATTGTAGCATCCTAGGAATAACGTTAGCATAATTACGCACTCTCGCAGACCACATGGCTGGTTTTCATCACCCTGGAGACCCCTACTTCCCTAACCAGGGGAACAACGGATGGCTAGAGGAGGAGCCCGAGGAAGAGCCTGAGGAGGAGCCCGAGGAAGACCCCGAAGAGGAATCTGACGGGGAACCGGAGGCCGAAGTTGATGGCGAGCCGGCCGAATCAGAGGAAGATGAAGGAAGCCTCGAGGAGGATGCTGATGATGGAGAAGGGGGTGATTCGGATGCGGAGTCCGAAGTCATCAACCCCCTTACCCGATCAGAGTACCTGCCTATCGCGTAGGCCCCACTGGTCCTACACCGCCCTGGGGTATTGATCTTTGGAGATGGAGCAGACAGCAGGGACAGCGACCCCCGTACGGCATGTCACGCGAGTTCTTTGACCTGAGAGACGGAGGACCGGCCGATCGAGCCCTTCCAGTCGTGGTGAAGCGGTTGCGGAATACGGGCGACCTTGCCCAGGACACTGCTGATCAGGTGCGCCAGTTAAGGACTAGAGTCGAGCGTGCGGAGCAGGAGACGCGTGACATCCTTCGAGAGTTTCACATGAGGCAGGTTCGGTGGGAGTCCCGACTTCGGGACGCAGAACGCTTGGTGGCTCGTCTTCAGGGAGCATCCACATCCTCGGCACCACCTCCGGACACAGCTCATCGCGGTTAGGGATAGACTTATCTTAGTAGGTCGTTAGGAAATATGCTATGTACTCCGACTCTATGTTTAAGTGACTACACTACTCATAGAGTCGTTATGCTGTCGAACTAGTATCACTCATGTATGCTCTTACGAGCAAAATTTTCATGTATCAAATGCGGATAATATTAATAAATTTTTACGTGTTTTATTACGATATTACAAATTGCTATGTGTTGAAAAATTATTATTGATCGGTCAATGGTAGTAGTGTTTAAGTTCGTACC